GGCGCGGCGCGACGCGAGTCAAGGCAGGGCGCGCGCGGCGCGGACGACGGCGGAAACGCGCGGCCAATGGGAGCGCGCGGCGCGGCGCAACTTAGGGCACACAGCGGTCCGGTGCCCCTCCGCCACGTGTGCGACGGGGACCACGCGTCTCACGTGGACCGCGCGCCACACGTGGACCACGCGTCTCACGTGGACCACGCGCCACACGTGGACGCCCCGCGCCTGCGATCCCGTGGAAGCTGCGCGAGAAGCTGCGCGATGGCGCCGGTGCTGGGGCGGCGGGTCGCGACACGGCTGCGACCGTTCGCCGGCCCTAGTCCGGATGCAAGGTGATCGCGATCACCCTCCGCCCGGCCTGCACGGAGGACGCGCTTCGAAAAGCTGCTGGCAGTTTTTCACCAGGTAGAACGGCCAGGGAGAACGGCCAGGTAGAACGGCCCTGAGGGCCTTTCTACCTGGCACTCTCGCAAACTAGAACCGGGGGTGACAGGGATTATGGGACTGGTTCCCAAATTACCCTTACAACGTGGTACCGTGGTACAGTATAAGGGCAGAGACAGAAGCACCTCAGTCGAGCGATAAACCTCCCGCAAATCATGGATGGCATAGTCACACTTTGCAACACCTTGAAGGACACGCTGCACCCCGTCGCCACGCTGATCACCGAGCCGCGAAAACTTTACGGGCGGGTAAACAAGGTGCGAACATGGAAGGGGGAGGTCATTCAAGGCTACAGGGAGTCCAAGAAGCTATATGACTTTTTGAGCCTGCTGTATCCCAATCACCATGGCGAGACCAACCTCTTTGTCATGGAGCGGGACGGCGTTCCCGACTTTGTTATCCACGAAGCTTTTGCAATGGGCGAACATCACGTGTTCTCGTTATATGCTGCCATGCGCCAGACGTTGATCAACAGCGGAGCGTTGTGGCAGTGCATCGCCGCCCACTTTAAGGAAGGCGATCTTGTAGCCGACTACATTTCCCAATCTATGGATAGAGCGAGTGATACCGAATGGGCAGATGCTTTGTTGGTGGCGTTTTCGGGAGGCAATTTCGATGACTTGCATATGTCGATCGAACGCTCGCAGTACGAAGTGGACAAGTTTATCCGCATTGCTGCGGGTGCGCATGTGGCGGGACACGTTATACCTGGAGAAGGGAAGCCCAGTTTGTTGCGTGCCTTTACGGAAAGGAAGAAGCACACCGTATCCATATGCGAATACCGGAGTGATGAGCAGTTTGCTGCAACGTCCACGCCAGCTGAGGTTACGAGCATTGGGCGTTTGGTTTGCGAGGACGAATTTCTATTTCTTGAAGTGTCCGAGGGAGGTGAGCACAGATGCATTAATGTGGCGTGGAATGATGTGGGATTTGTCATCACATCCAATATCAACGATAGTGTGCAGATGAGGCACACTGTTGACCTTCCCACCAGCAGAGTAGCGCTATATGCCATGATGACGTGCGAGCGTTTGTCGCTGGACAGGTTTGATACAAGACTCCTGGTTGAGACTGTAGTTCAAATGGCGGAAAGCTCTCAGTACTTAAGCTTGCGCGGAAGGGTAGACAGCGAAGAGACAACAAGAAAAGAAGAGCTGGGCGTCGATCCTGAAGGGAAGAATGTCGTCAACTTTGACAAGCTGGCACAGGTCGTCAGAAATATGGAATCTGTGCTCGAGGAGGCGACGCACGCCAGGCTTCCGCAAAGTGCAGGTCGCGTTACGGCTACATTTGAGGAATTACGACAATTACAAGAGGGACGGGGCATAGAAGACCTTGGCCTAGCTGCACATTGCTCGAGCGAGGCTTTCGCAACTCTTTCGGGCAGGATTAAGAGCGTGGGTTGGGCGCAGAGGAAGGCTAGTTCGGGCAAGGGAATGAGCATTCTAGCGAATACCGGATGGGAGGAGGCCAAGCTGGTTATTTCGCAAGTTTTGAAAAATATCGGAGACAGAGCTGCGACGATGTTCAAGAAGAGCCGGAGAGCTGGGGTTGAGATAAGGCAAGTTGAGTCCTCAGCCAACTCCGGACTACTTTGGTTTGATCGGATATTTGCGGGGGGAACGCTTACTCAGAAGAGGAGAGAGGACCTTAAAAACAAAGTGCTCCGGAAGACCGAGCCGACTCGCGTTAACGGGGAACACGAAGAGGTTTTCTACTATCCTCTCATCGACACGATTTTCGCCATCACGAACAGGGAAAAAGTTAAGCGTTACAGGGCCAAAACCGTGCAGATGGCTAGTTATGGTGGCAAGGAGAGTCATCCTGGAGTGCTGGCGGCGGTAGTGAAATGGCTGGATCATGATAAGGATGACGGTAATGGAAGGCTTATGGAAGTGGTGTTAAAACGAGGCCAACAGGGGTACGACAAGCTGTTAGACCTGCTCGAACCCGAGCTTGCCACGGCAATATACAATGATGTAGAGGCATCGACGACGCTAAAAGTGTCCAAGCTTATTCAAGACTGCGCTAAGTTGCCCGAAAGTTTCGATAAGGACTGGGTGGTCAGGGAAGTGTTGTCTGTATGCACAGTACTCGGTATCTCGTACACTGTGGGTTCAGCGAACTGCGCCTGCTTCAGTAAGGTGATTGAGGGTTGGCAGGACGTGAACAGTGCAACGAAGAGGGTCGTTGAGTATGATTATCCAGTACCTGTTAATGGAGCAACTGTCCATGCGAAAAGACGAGTTTTAAATGCAGAAGTGCTGCACGTAATGGGAACGATAGCGAGCAGACGCGTGGGCAAGCTCATTGTTGTTACTGCCAGGGAAGATATCGAGTCGGTGTTGCAAACACCCGGGAGAGGCGATATTTCTGAGACGAACACAAGGTTTAAGCAGCAGTCGGGAGGTAAAATACTGCATCTGGAAGTGATGACTGTACCCCGAGAGTATCAGGGCTTCGGAACTGACAAGGTCATCTCCGGGAGCTACGGGATTCAGGGCGCCTGTCAAACGTCCATCGGCGACCACACCCAGACAGTGGGTGCCACGACACAGCAACCCTAATCCTGAACTGGATTGAAAGTCACCCCCCTAGAGTGGTCTCCGCAAATCTGCTGAGTTAGAGTGGTCTCCGCAACTCAGACCCGGTTCTAAGAGCATCTCTGCGGCCTCCTGTAACTCGGCAACTCTATTGCTGTATTTCAGAATAGACTCTGTGAAAACCAAGATAGAAACAAGAATTTTCTTTAATATCGGCCAATTATCCGACATAATCAATCACTACATTAGAAACCTCCGGGCGAATCGGCCCGAGGTCGGTCTTACACGTGGAATCTTGCGCCGTCACTCTTGACACGTGGCTTTGATCACGTTATGATAGCCCATGGGGGTATGAATGATCCCCGCCGCTCTCGCCGGACGGTCGCACACCGCCAGCTTTCCCCGGGGCGTCCCGGGGGGCTTCTCGCCGCGTCTCCCCGTCGTGCTTTTCCCCTCTTCGGAGGGGCACCCCGTCGGATAGGGTAAAGCAGGAGGTCACCCGGTCGTCGTCCTGGTGGCAGGAGGGCGGTGTGTCGCCCTGAGTTCCCAAAGACAAATTCGGGCTTCAGCACTTCAAGAAAAGAGAGAGGCATGGTCCTTGAGAAGGAAGGGCGGGCGGGGAAAAGCGAGAGGCATACCCTGACACAGGGATGTTGCAGCTCCTCCTTCATACTCGCAGACAGCGTTGGTTTTGTCGTACCTCCGGCCCGCCGACGATGACGGAGGGGCCGCAGCGTACGCATCGTGTCACACTTACGCATACGTGTCCTCGCTATTCAATGGACTTTTTCATCCGCATAAACGAAGTCTACACGAGACGTCAATAGAACCCAATGCCATCCCTACGGCACAGGAAATAGATTCCCATAGATCTCAACCACAATGTGCATGAGCGACGATTCGAGCGACGATGAAAACATCGTCTTCCTCCTTGCATCAGTTATTGTACCGGGATTCATAGAGCTGAAGGCAGCAGGCGGCTCTGCAAGCCGTCCGACAAGACGAGGCAACAAACGTCGCGACTTCGACGCTGCCATGAATCGTTTGTTCAACGACTGCTTTGGGGTATCCCCGAGATACAGTGAAACAGATTTCGAAAGGCGTTTCCGAATGTCTCGAAAGCTGTTCGACC